ATCCCTGTTGGGATTCTCCAGAATCATCCCTGTTGGGATTCTCCAGAATCATCCCTGTTGGGATTCTCCAGAATCATCCCTGTTGGGATTCTCCAGAATCATCCCTGTTGGGATTCTCCAGAATCATCCCTGTTGGGATTCTCCAGAATCATCCCTGTTGGGATTCTCCAGAATCCCTGTTGGGATTCTCCAGAATCCCTGTTGGGATTCTCCAGAATCCCTGTTGGGATTCTCCAGAATCCTTGTTGGGATTCTCCAGAATCCCTGTTGGGATTCTCCAGAATCCCTGTTGGGATTCTCCAGAATCCCTGTTGGGATTCTCCAGAATCCCTGTTGGGATTCTCCAGAATCCCTGTTGGGATTCTCCAGAATCCCTGTTGGGATTCTCCAGAATCCCTGTTGGGCTTCTCCAGAATCCCTGTTGGGATTCTCCAGAATCCCTGTTGGGATTCTCCAGAATCCCTGTTGGGATTCTCCAGAATCCCTGTTGGGATTCTCCAGAATCCCTGTTGGGATTCTCCAGAATCCCTGTTGGGATTCTCCAGAATCCCTGTTGGGATTCTCCAGAATCCCTGTTGGGATTCTCCAGAATCCCTGTTGGGATTCTCCAGAATCCCTGTTGGGATTCTCCAGAATCCCTGTTGGGATTCTCCAGAATCCCTGTTGGGATTCTCCAGAATCCCTGTTGGGATTCTCCAAAATCCCTGTTAGGATTCTCCAGAATCCCTGTTGGGATTCTCCAGAATCCTTGTTGGGATTCTCCAGAATCTCTTTTGGGACTCGTTGCAATTCCTCTCGGGATTTTTTGTGTCTTGGACTCTTGGGAATCTCTCTTGTAGGATACTCTGGATCCCTGGATTCTCCGATCGAAGATTCAATACCATTTCTAGACAAACCAGTTTTTGGTTGAAAGCCTGGTTAGGGACTTTGCATAAATCACGGTAGCAGTGTGATTTAAAAAGGGACCAAAATTTCAGGTTTTTTTAGATTCTCCAAAATTTGTCAAGAGATTATCAAAGATTCTTCGGAATCTCTATTGTACATCCTATGGTGTTTATGGACGACTCTTTGGGCATCTCCGGCATACTTTTTGGAATACTCTAGAATCCTTCGTGTAATATTCACCGGAATTCCTCTTTGGATTTCTCTGGAATTCCTCTTTGTAATTCTCCAGAATCACTTTTTGGAAACCTCCAGAATCCCTCTTTGGAATTCTTCAGAATCCCTCCTTGGAATTCTTCAGAATCCCTATTGGGAATTCTCCAGAATCCCTGTTGGGATTCTCCACAATCCCTGTTGGGATTGTCCAGAATCCCTGTCAGGATTCTCCAGAATCCCTGTCAGGATTCTCCAGAATCCCTGTCAGGATTCTCCAGAATCCCTGTTGGGATTCTCCAGGGATTCTCTTGGGACTCGTCGCAATTCCTGCCGGGATTTTTTGCGCCTTGGACTCTTGGGAATCTCTCTTGTAGGGTAATTCTCCGGAATTCCTCTTTGTAATTCTACAGAATGCCTATTTAGATTTCTCCGGAAATCCTGTTTGGAATTCTCCGAAATTCCTCTTTGGAATTCTACGGAATCACTCTTCGGAAATCTGCAGTCTCTGGAATTGTAATTCTCCGGAATTCCTCTTTGGAATTCTACGGAATTCCTATTTGGATTTCTCCGGAAATCCTCTTTGGAACTCTCCAGAATTTCTCTTTGGAATTCTTCAGAACCTTCTTTGGAATTCTTCAGAATCCGTATTGGGAATTCTCTGGAATCCTTCTTGGGAATTCTCCGGAATTCCTCTTGAGAATTCTTAGAAATCGCTCTTGATAATTCTCCGGAATCCCTCTAGGGAATCCTCCGATATCCCTCTTTTGAATGCTCCAAAATCCCTCTAGGAAATTCTCCGGAATTTCTCTTGGGGATTCCCCGGAATTCCTTTTGGGGATTCTGCGGAATTCAGTAAACAGAAGTTGTTTCTGGCCATCAGGCCGGATTTCCTTCTGTTGTTTGGTTAAAAATAGGTCAACTACGTTTTCCACCGTTTCTAACACTAGTTTGGCGGACACTTGTATATTCGGCCACTATATACAAAAGGCAAGATTCCTAATGTACGGAACATCCGTAAAAAAAGGAACAATTTATGAAAGTGATTGTAAAGCTCCACAGATTTTTTTTTTGTTGATAATGAATTCAGAGTTGCGACCGAAGCATGGACCCAGGAAAGGTTCTCCTGAAGATCTGGACATCGGAAAACGTGAAACTGATCCTATCGCCCTGTGATTTTTTTGACGTAGGACGTCTGTGATTTCTATATGGGATGGGGGTACACTTTGTGAAAACCAAAAATGGAACATGTAACGAAATTATGAAAGATTTTGAACGTTAATAACTCAGCTGTCCCTGGACCAATTTCAATAATTTTATCACCAATCGATCAGACATTGTCCTACGCATCGATAACAATGCTTTTGATCGTTGAGTTTTAACAATAAACTATTGAAAAAGTGGTAAAGCTGCTTCCCCAACACTGTCATCAGAGAGTCGTTAGTAGACGAAACAAGTCGAAGTGGTATTCGCATCTGATCTTCGGGCGTGTGTGAATAAGGAGGATGCAATTGTTTAACATTTTCCTCATCGCCTTATTCAGAACCAATGACCACACAAAATGCTCTCCAGAGTTGTAATCTTGTAACTAAACTTGAAAGCAAGGGTGCAAGTGATTTTGATCGATTCTCTTCATCGACTTTCTGTTTCGTTAATAACTCGACGGCAAACACATTTATTGATACGTTTGTTGCTCTGGATGATAAAAGAGCATAGCAAAAATAGTGCGAAATAGGTTAGTGAAGCCATGGTCATCAAAAGAGGAAATCGATGAAGGGAATTGACTTTCACCCATCTGCTTCTAACACCAAAAAACATGAACTACACTTTTTTCTAGGGATGTCTTAAAATCAAATTATTCGATTAACGATGAATCGTAAAGATTTTTCCAGCTACTCGATTAAATATTTCTCGATGAACATTTCAAATGGTCCTATCTGCTTTGATCGATTCTCTTCATCGACTTTCTCTTTCGTTAATAACTCAGCTGCAAAACCTTTCCCTGTTGTATTTGACGTTTTGGACGCTAGATAAGAACCTCCTTTATCAAACTATGTGGTAGAATTAGCGCGAAATCTGTTTGCATAGCAGTGGTTATGAAAAGAGAAAATCGATGAAGAGAATCGATCAAAGCAGATAGGACCATTTGAAATGTTCATCGAGATTTAATGAATTTTCAATTATTCGAGCGCGTAACCGTCATCCCTTATCATTTCTACTCGTTTGATTTAGCGCAGTAGAGAAAATAAATAAAAGAACTAATTTATCTGAACAGGCATAGAGAAGAGCCATGATGTGGAACAGAATCATAAATTCGTCGAAAAAAGGGTTAAGCGTCTTTCTGCTGAAGGCTAAGATCGACCAACTTGTTGAGAGAAGGAGTTTAACGAGAAAAACTAAAAAGGGGAGGAGCTTTCGCTGGGTGAACACTGATATTCTACGGCCTTTCATCCTGTCGCAGACACCAGTTCAACCCCTGTTCAGCAGCACCCGGGCCGAGACTACTGCGAGTGCCCAATCATTGAACCGAAGAATATGGGATACCCTTTTCAGGGCCACCAAGATTGTCCAAAAGAGTTAAATTTCTGAACATGTCCCAACCTAAATTCATATCAAAAGATTCTTTTCAGGGCAGTCATAGTCATACTAAAGAGAATAAACAGAGAGAGAGCCCCGCTCAAATTCCTATTCCTACAAAAAACACAAGCTTCTGCTGCAGTTAACAAGTAACATTTATCATATAAGACCACGTAGTCCTACGTCACCATTGTGTACAACCCCATAGGGCTGTCCCTTGTAGTTTTTAAAACGGTCCTCTGGTAAATCCGAAACATCCATAAAAGTGGCAAAGTCATGGAACCACCGATCGAGCTAAACACTACAAATTCCATGATTCCAGGTTACTTCGATAAATTTGCGATGCTTTGAAATCAGGTTAGGGAGTGTTGACTCGGGACAACATGTGGCATGTGGAAACATTTCCACGCAGTTAAGAATACAATATTTGCCAGTTTCAGTTATCATCTTATGTTGAAATGTAGTTAAACATGCATTCGTAATGGATAACAGTTGTATCCTCCAGGTAAAGCGGAAAGTTTCCAGCACTCAAACCTATTATTAGCTTCCACACCAACATGCTAAAATGCGTGACCACACTGTACTATTTTCCAATTGATTTCAACGTGAATCCAAAGCTCTCCGCAGCCACTTATCACAAGGTTATATTTTCGGTTCACTTCGCCGTTGCTTCACACACCAAACCGGTGCTACTTCCATCCTCTTCTGATCACCACCGTCGTGATAAAAAAAAAACTACAAACTTTGCATATTCCAACGTTATCTGGTCCTCTTCACCGGAGACCCAACACGTAGCCAATTTACCCGGAGGACACTTTTAGCATTTTCCACCAGAGCAACACTTGACATAAAACGAAATTTTCATCGCGAGCCACCTCGACTCGTGCCGATCTCGGTTACTGCACTGCACGAACTTTCCACTCTGGGTTTTTTTTTTTTGTTTGATTCCTCCACTGCACTGAACCAAAAATTACAACGCAACGCTCTTGACCGTGTCAAGGGAGCACGGCAGCAAGAGCAAAAGAGCACACCACAATTCGCCAGCGGTCAATTTTCCACTAAAAAAAAATAAAAATAAAAATAAAGACACTATTTATCACACATTCTCCGGACGTTGGAAACGCTTTCCAACTGACTCCGACGACCACCGCACACTGGAGGCGAGCTCATCCGATATTACGGTGTTCCGTTCCGTTCGATTACCAACGACGAGCGTGCCCGGGCAACGGTCATGCCACGGAATGAATGCCAGTTCAGTTGCTAAATCAGAAACCAGCAGCAACACCCCCTTCCCACCCCCAGAGCCCAGACCCACAGTTTTCACTTACATCCGCGCGAGATGCAGCCGGTCCTGCGTGGAAAGATGCTCGACCTGAGCCATCTCGCTAACTAAATCGGAGTGCTCCATTTTGCCGATATCGAAGCTCAACTTTCGGCCGATGCTCCTCCGCTGTTGTTGTTTCTTCCGATGCTGATGATGATGATGATGATGATCTTCGTCTTCAGCAGCGTTAATTGACGTGTTGGGGATTGCTGCGATTTGCCGAGACTGCTCCTCCGTCGTTTTCGCCGCACTCTTTGATCGCTCTTTGGACGCCCGATGATTGATGATGATGACGACGGTGGGTTCGCTCTAGTTTGCAGAAGAGGAGCAGGTCGTTCAATATCCGAAACCACTTAGGCCCGCAGTCGAGCGCAGGTTATTCGGAAGTCACGCTCGTTTGGTCCAAGTTGACTTGGAGATTTACTAATTGCATTAGCACTTGGTACTTTTGCAATGGTGATGCGATGACGATGATGATGATGATGACGGTGGAGGACCTAGCCGATGCCTCGCCACCAATGTGGAACGCATCGTAGTAGGCTCACTCTCTCTCTCGCACTTTGTTCTCTCAATCTCCTGAGTGAGTGTTTTTCAGTTTCTCGCCAAACTGTGAATCGCTGATAGCTGAGCTGCGTGGTGCACGGCGCGGCGGTGGTTCAAACCAATTTGGGGATCTGTTGAGAGAGAGGAAAGAAATGGGAAATAAATTATCATTGAGGTTGATTCAATCGTGTCGTCGTCGTCGTCTTCGTCGTCGTTTCCGTCATTGGACATTTCAGGGGGGGGGGGGATATAAACAACAAGGCAACAAATTGAGAATCGAGCAAAACAAACTGTGCTATTAATCGGCGTGAAATCGATCAATGGGGTTGATGAAATCTGCGTTGATGGGGTTTGAAGGAGATGGATGGCATTGTTTCTACATTGATAACGATTTCAGTTCCAGACAATTTGGGACAAACGCGCAGTGGCGATCGGGAAATTAGCATTGATGTGCTATTTTCTGGTTGGCGCCCATCAGAAGCGTAACTAAGTGGGTTGGATCAGGATTTTTTGACGTAGAACTACGTCTTTGTCGACTATACTGGGGTACAAATCAAAAAATATGTATGGTAAAATAGTGTTAGGTTTTGAACGCTTGTAACTTTGTCATTTATAGATGAAATTAAAATCCAAATACGCCAATCGATAGGATATTACTTAACCAATCTGCTGAAATAAATACTTTTGCTATCTTTAATCAAAAAACTTTTGAAAAATACGCGAATGATAATTTTATCACTGTTTTCATGAACTAAACGTTTTCCCCAAACCCAGTCATCATAAACCTTGGTTGCACATCATTCTGCTTGAACCTGAAAAGATATAAAACAGCCCTGCTTTTCTGCCTCTGCTCATTTCCGCTTCGGACGGCGTGGCACTAGGTCCTGCAGCAAGCAAAACCCCCTTCCCCTTAACAACAACCTGAAAAAGACATGGACTTTGACGATCACTTTTTTCCGGGAAATAAATTTTAAGCAAACCACAATTAGGGGTTGTTCATTAACTACTTAGACAATTTTTTGGGACCCCCCCCCCCTGCATAGACAATTGTCCGTACATTTTTTTTAATTTGTATGGGCTGTAAATAATTGCCATCCCTCCCATTAAAGTCTGTCTACGTAGTTTATGAACAGCCCCTTATAAGGAAAAACATTTTTTTGTACGTAGAGCCAAAATTTTCAAAACAAATTGCTTAAGAGGAGACATTTATGAATTACCAACAACTGACTGTAAAACATATCTGGTACCTCTATATATATGCAATTAGATTAACATCCAAAGTCCATCCTTTTTTCCATATTCTGCACAAAAGATACGTTCTGCCCCGCCCATTCATAATAATAAGTATAATAGTCAAAAATGCATGACAAACATCAATTTTGCGTGGTTCTACGTCATACTGCGGTCGTGTCTAGGACACAACTCTTTATTGTGTTTTGTATTAATTTATTTGTACAGGCTCAATCGAATAAACTTTACAGAGCCAAGTTATCATTTGCGTTTTACATAATTCATGTCTTAAATCTAAAGTTAGTGGAATTGTAGGATCAGGAATCGAAATGCACATGAAATTGATAATATTTTGGAACACCAAGTGCTTAATACAAAATCGAAATTACAACAAATTCTTTTGAGAATGCTGGGAAAATCCGATAGACCGAAAACTTTTGAATTCTCGAAGCTGGGAAAACTCCAAAAACTGGCAAAAGCCACGAAACATCGAGAGCTCTTTAAATCAGATTCGATCCGAAATGACCCCTACATAAAAACGACTGTCAAAAAGCACTGTTTAAAGATAATCATATAGTTTCATCAGGAATATTGTTCAAACAAACGCACACTTTGACGGTCTGGATCTCCAAAACCTTAGGCAATCATAAACCTGCAAAAAAGGTACAAAGTTTTCTTCTAATAACGAGCCTATATGTTGCGTCAGTATGATCAGAAAGACATATCTCCATACTGGAAACATAAACAAGACAATCGTGGTAATGAAAGTTATCCAGGACATCTTGAAAATTCGGTCTTAAAGTTCTACAGGTTCAACAAACTATTATACGATGGCCCTAAGTAGAACACAATATCCCGATCGGAATTTTGATCCCCTAGAGTTTCATTGAACTCAAAAGCATTCTGTAGAATACATAGCTATGTTGTCAGAATATCTCTGGTTCTACAAATCATCCTGAAGTTTAGATCATCAAGTTCTACAGGCTCAAACGTGACTTTTACGATGTATCAATCGATTTTTTTGAACCCAACCCACATCATAGAGCTCCATTACATCATGTGGGTCATATAACGGTGTTACCAAAATATGTTCGATTCTCCAAGTTGTCCTGGAGTTCATATCTTAACGTTTTACGGATTCAACGAGGTATTGTACGATGGCTCGACTAAATTTGTGAATCAAAAAGCATTCTGGAGCCCCATTACATCTTGCGGAATATGTAGCTATAATGACAACATATTTTGGGGTCTCCAAAATATCATGAGGATTGGATCTTGATGATCTATAGGCTCAACGAAATGTTGTATAATGTCCAGATGCATTATGCGAATCCATGCAGCTCCATGGGACTTCATCATATTAAGGGCGATAAGCAGTTGTTTTAACTAAATATGTTTCATTATCCAAACTGTCGTGAAGTTCAGATCTTGATGTTCCTCTGATTCAACGATGTATTGTACGATGGCTCGACTAAATTTGTGAATCCAAAAAGCATTCTGGCGCCCCATTACATCATGCGGAATATGTAATTGTAATGACATAATATTTTGCGGTCTCCAAGTTATCCTGAGGATTGGGTCTTGATGATCTAAAGGCTCAACTAAAGGTTGTACGATGTCCAGATGTATGATACAAATCCATGAAGCTCCGTGGATCTTCATCACATTAAGGGAGATAAGCAGTTGTTTTAACTAAATATGTTCCATTATCCAAACTGCCCTGAAGTTCAGATCTTGATGTTCCTCTGATTCAACGAGGTATTTAACGATGTCTCGACTAAATTTGTGAATCCAAAAAGCATTCTAGAGCCCCATAACATCCTGCGGAATATGAAGTTGTAATGACAACATATTTTGGGGTCTCCAAGATATCCTGAGGATTGGATCTTGATGATCTATAGGCTCAACAAAATGTTGTATGATGTCCAGATGTATGATACGAACCAATGAAGCTCCACGGGAGTTTATCGCATAAAGGGAGATAAGAAATTGTATTAACTAAAAATGTTCCATACCCCAAATTTACCGGGAGTTCAAATCTCGAAGTTCCTCTGATTCAACGAGGTATTGTACGATGGCTCGACTAAATTTGTGAATCCAAAAAGCATTCTGGAGCCCCATTACATCCTGCGGAATATGTAGTTGTAATGGCAAAATATTTGGGGGTCTCGAAGTTATCCTGAGGATTGGGTCTTGATGATCTATAGGCTCAACAAAAGGTTGTATGATGTCCAGAGAAATGATACGAACCCATGCAGCTCCGTGGAACTTCATCACATCAAGGGAAGTAAGAATTTGTATTATCAAAATATGTTTCATTATCCAAACTGCCCTGAAGTTCAGATCTTGATGTTCCTCTGATTCAACGAGGTATTGGACCATGGCTCGACTAAATTTGTGAATCAAAAAGCTTTATGGAGCCCCATTACATCTTGTGGAATATGTAGCTGTAATGACACAATATTTTGGGGTCTCCAAGTTATCCTGAGGATTGGGTCTTGATGAGCTATAGGCTCAACAAAAGGTTGTATGATGTTCGGATGTATGATACGAACCCATGCAGCTCCGTGGGAGTTTATCACATAAAGGGAGATAAGAAATTGCATTATCTAAATATGTTTCAGACCCCAAATTAACCGGGAGTTCAAATCTCGATGTTCTTTTGATTCAACGAGGTATTGTACGATGACTCGACTTAATTTGTGAATCCAAAAAGCTTTCTGGAGCCCCATTACATCCTGCGGAATATGTAGCTGTAATGGCAAAATATTTTTGGGACTCCAAGTTATCCTGAGGATTGGGTCTTGATGATCTATAGGCTCAACTAAAGGTTGTATGATGTCCAGAAGTATGATACGAACCCATGCAGCTCCGTTGGAGATTATAACATCAAGGGAGATAAGAAATTGTATGAACTAGATAAATTCCATACCCCAAATTAACCGGGAGTCCAGTACCTGTCCTTTTAAATTTTCTTAGGATCTTTCTTCACAGGACAGACGTCCTTTGCGTGAGAGGAATCACCACAATTCATGCATTTAGCTGGCATGTAGCAATGTTTGGCTGCGTGACCCCATCCCCCACTTACGGCACTGGGTGAGGAGGTTTTGGAAATTTCCTCCTGTCTTCCTGAAGTGGTTCCACTTGAGTCGGACATGGAACATATTTAAGGGTAGCTTTTTCTAAGACCTTAAGGTTGTTTAGTTCACTAGATTTCAAGTGAACTAAAGGTTGTCTCACATCAAATTGCATCACGGAAAAAAACGCTGTAGAAAATTACCTAGTTGACCGATCCTTTTTAAACTTTCAGACAATATATATACGTTATTAGTAAGCTTTTGGCATAGTTATTTCATTCAACTTCAATACCATAATCGTACGCTCGCACCTTACGCTTAACTCCACTCATTAGGTTCGGTACAACATCTGGCTGCCGCTTATTATGTACGGAAACCCACTTTTTCTTCATGTCTTCCTCAAATTTGACCAGATTTGGCCTTAGTTCCGGTGCGTTGGGGGTTTCATGTCCTTGGGTACGAAAGTGACCCCGTTGGCTTCGTACCACTCCAGGACAACATTTGAATAGTGGCACGAAGCTATATCCGGCCAGAAGATCGTAGGGCCTTCGTGTTGCTTCAACAGAGGAAGCAGACGCTTCTGTAGACACCCCTTGAGATAGATCTCTTCATTTACAGTCCCGGTAGTCACGAATGGCGCACTCCGTTTACCAAATCATGTATTTCTTGGCAAACTTTGAAAGTTTCTGCTTCCTTACTTCCTCCGGAACATCAAACTTGTGCTGGACGATGAAGAACAGTAGCCCCGGAAGCTGCCGGAAGTCCGCCTTGACGTAAGTCTCATCATTCAGTGTGAACTGTTCAGGATTTTCCAGGTGCTTGCG